AGCATTTTCATTTCCCACAACCCAATGAAACCCTGCCAACATGTATCACATGCATATGCCAACCCCCATAAACAAAGATCACCCAAAAATAACAGGTCAGGATACAGCCCCTACCCCAAACTGTACCAAGGACCCACTATTCTGGGGGTGGGGGGGAGGATCATCTAATTCCACAACACAAGTCATCTTCAATATCCATTTCTAAAACACCACCGACTTCAAACAAGTTGAAATTAAGGGCATAAGGCTGGTTAGTTGGTTAACTAATAGTAAAATAGTTAATTAACACAATGGAAGTTCTGTTGTAGCTGAAATGGTACTTAGCAGCCTAACTGAGCAATTTATCTAAAGCAATTCTTCCTTAACATTAATGACTCTTCCTTATTTTTAAATACTAAAAGTTATAAAATTGTAAATATTTATGAAGTGCAATGTGATACTCTATTACATGTATATATGGTATAAAATCTATTCAAAGTAAATACATTTACCTTTTCAAGCATTTAATGACCATTTATGGGGAAATCATCCTAACTCTGATCTTCTAGTATTTTTACAGAGAAATTTACGGTACATTATCTATATATACCTCCTTGTAATAGTAGAACCCCAGAACTTCCTACTCTTCCCTAGCCATGACATGGTATTAGTCAATCAATCAACCTTTCCCTATTTCTTCCTTCCCCAGATATGTGCTCAGCCTCTGGTAAATATCACTATATACTTTTACCTTCTATAAAACCATTAGTGTTTAGACTTCATGAGATGGCTGTGCAAGCTATGTGCCTGACAACAGATTAATATCCAGAATATATAAAGAACTCAACACTATAGCAAAATCATCACCATCCAGCTTAAAAAGGGTACAGTGGATCTAATCAGACATTACTCAAGAGAAGACATACAAATGGCCAAGAGAAACATTTTAAAAACATTTTCAGCACTGCTAATCATTAGTGAGACACAAATCAGACCCGCCCAAGAGTACTTAATTCCAGTAAGATTGGCTAGTAACAAAAGGACAAAAGTAACACTGTTGGTAAGCATGTGGGGAAATAGGGAATCCTTGTATACTTGTACACAGCACAGCCGATCCAGAAGACAGTGCGAAGGTTCTTAAAAAAAATAAATAGATGTATCATATAATCTGACACACCACCATGTTTACTGCCTCACTATTCATGACAGCCAAGAGGTGGAAACCACTTCAAACATCCATCTATCCACCGACGAATGCATAGATATACACATGGAATACTACTCAGCCATTAGAAGGAATGACATCCTGTTGCTTGCTTAATGGATGGAACAGGAAGTCATCATGCTAAATGAAATGGTTCTTTTTGAAGGATAAATTTAGTTATCACAAACAAATGGCTAAAAATACACCGGTATAAGTGGAAAAGTAAATCATGGGCCAAGGATTTTGTTCTTTTACCTTGTAGCTTATCTTCAGCATCATCATTATCACCATATTTCAATATATTCCAGCATGTTTGAACATATGCCAATATACAGTTACAATAGCATCTTAAGTGATTAGAGGCCTAATTATTATGATTATTGAAATATTTACCATCATCAGTGACAAAATATTCCCATAAGATCTTTCAAAATATAAGCATTCTGTTCAGATAAATGGGTAAATATAGATAAGCATTTCATATAAAAGAGATTCAGATCTATTTATCTATCTGTATAATGTTCCCCCAACTCATCATGGGTAAATTTTGGTTCAGTTATTGGGAAAATGTATATTAATATTGTAATTAGCTACCTCTATATCACTATAAGCACAGCTAAAATGACAGAGTTGACTAGGATGTAATACAACTAAAACACTGGCTCTTACAATACAAATGGATTTTCCTCACATTTCTGGAAGCTAAAATTTCCAAACTCCAGGTGCCAGTGAGGCCTCTGCCGTTGGCTTGCCAATGGTTGCCTTCTCATTGAGCCCTAATGTCTCCTTCCCTACTCTAAGAACACTAATCCTAGTAGTGTTATGGCTCCATCCTTCTGATCTCAGTTTACCTTACCTACATCATTAGAGGTCCTATTTCCAAATGCAGTCAAACTGGAATCCTGGATACTATTCATGCGGGTGATGAGAGTAGGGATACACTTTGGTTCACATCAAATCAATTTCTTAATTTGTTTTCTTCATGTAAAATTTTCACATTTTTCAACCTTTAAAACTGGTAGATCTTGGTATCATGAAGACTACCCAAAAACTCTTAATATTTCCCCCCAAATTTTAGAAATCTTTATAAATAATAGATGCTCGCAAACCACAGATTACCAAAATTATAAGGAAATTATCTAAGATTCAGAGCAAGTGAGTTCAATATAACTTTAAGATGTGTTTAAATAAAATGGAATCCAGACGGTGAAACACTTTTGTATACCAACTATATACATGCCCTTGCTATGGACAACCAATAGTAAGAAATACATATTGACACAAAGCACTTGTTTAACAAAATGTCTACTTTGGATAAAAAGGGAACATTTAAAAGGTATTGTAAATTACCTCACAATCCAGGAACTTGCTGTGGGTATCTGACAGACACTCTGAGGAAGCCAGTTATATTAAATACGTAGCCACAGAAAGGAGTTCTTCCTTATTTTCAGGTGGAAGCAAAAATAGGAGCTGTTCTCACGAAACACAGATCAAATTACCCCAGAAAAAAAACTGCATTTCTGACTCAGATTTCCTGCTGGACATGCTGGTTTCCCTTTTGTAGCAACGCAAGGCTGGCGAGGATTTGTGACAAGCTGCCTGTAACATCAACACCCCAATACACACATTGCATCAAACAGCTCTTCCTATTGAGATCCTACAAGCCCAACTTTCACTTTTATGTTTTGCAATGGGTTTTTTTTTTCTTGTTACATGTCCATGTCTTCATGGGCAGATAAATTTTTACACTGACATTAGTTTAGGAATGTTTTCATTTATATTTGTGTGACCAAGACACACACATTAATAATACAATTATCACACAGAAAAACAAATTACAGCTAATCTAGTTGTAGCATGACAACCTATCTTGGCCTTGTGACTTAAGATCTCAAAAACTTTATGAAAGAGAATTTGATAGCCTAAAAGATGACCAGAAAATGGGTCCAGAAACTGCTGTTAAATGCCATTTTTACAGGGCTTATAATTTGAATTAGCTACATCTCACTCATTTGAAATACATCATTTTCAATCTTCATTTCTATGAAATTCCATCAGGCTTCTGGGCATTTTCGGTTGCTTTGCTATTCTACAGGAGCTGAGACACAGTATTTTCTGCTTCTGGCTCTGCCAACATTCAGCACTGAAAGAAATGATTCGGAGCCATTGGGTTCTAGCACCTCAGGCTCAACCTCCTTGTCCCAAGGCAGATTCAGTGTGGAGGCTTGAAATGGGTGTTGACTCACCTGAACTGAATGACTATGTTCCAAGCCCCTTTACTCATCACCAGGACCATGAAGCCTTGCTGCTGCCCATCATGACACCAGGCTCCTCTTACAGCCTTCCCAGACCCTCAAACATCATCAAGGCAGAGCTCCAGGGTGGAACTCACTCAATCTCACCTTTTTTCTTCCTGAGGTTTCACAGCAAAAGAACTCCACTTCTTCTAAACCCAATTTTGTGTTTTCTAAATTCCTGCAACCTAAACCACTCCCTATCAGCACAGGTCAGAACTAACATTTTTTCCTGTTACTTAGACTTCTGCCTGTTGTCTGAGTAACAAAGAGGGACTGGGGGCTGAGGAAGAATGATCCCCTATGAACATAAGTAAAGTGTAAGGAGCCAACAACAGCTGAGGAGACAAATCCCCTCAACTCCAGCTAACTGTGAGAAAGAGATGCAAGGCAAACACTGAGTGAGGAACACAGGGTCACTAGACCCAGGGACGGTAGAGACGGGGTTGAGTTTTACCAAGAGGGACTTATAGGAGACCCTCTTCTCACCCAATCAAGGGCCCATAGTAAAGGACCCAAGAAGCAATAGGGAAAAGTAGCACCCAAAAGATATGGAGCAGATTTTACACTGTGATGTGTCACTGACAAGAAATTATCCATGAATAACAGCCAGAGGCCAGCCATGGTCCTTTAGCTGGGAGGAGAGGGTCTGTCTTGCTCTCTTCTCTCATTTTCTACTTCAGGGAGAAGTACTGGATGAACATTTGGGCTGGCTTATACCTCATAAGACTCTAGAGTTGACATATAAGATATGTCCCCCAGAGGTCTACTTGCCTAGGTTGTTCCTGGGATGCCTGCAGTCCTCCATATAACCGTAAACCATAGGGAGTGTTTACATTAGAAAGTCTGACAGCACATTGTTCATAGGTCAATTCTAGACCTATGGTGTATACTCCACATGAATAGATTCCAAGGCTCCATTTCAAAAGGCAGCAAATCCACCATTTAAATGACTTTCCCAAAACATCACACGTTCTCATTAACCCGGGTAGCCGCAATCATTTCAAGACCAAGGACAATCTTCTCTTTTACAACCCAAGCCCAAAGCAAGAAGAAAACTCAAATTAGAGGAAACCAGCACCTCAACCTCAAAGTTGGCCATATGAACACCTTTTCTCTACCCTTCCTTCTGCCACACGCATACACACACATGAGTAAAACACACAAGCACCAGTCACATTTCTCCTGGAGTTCTCTCATTCTCCTGTGGTTTCCCAACCACTACCAGCACTACCACTTCCAACAAAAAGTAGAAAACTAAAGGCCGTACCAAAAAGATTTCAGTTAAGAAATCCTCTGTGAAAAATTTTACATTATCTTTCCCCCACTTGCCACCAAAGAGTATAACCTGTCACATGCTCTCATTAAAATTATTTTAAATCATGACGTTAAACTGTATAATTATCACTTCAATTTGTGAAAAGCACAATAGCATATAGTTTCTAAAGATGAGTGTAAAAATGAGATCTTCAAAAAATCCAAGTGGAAGATACTGAAAATCATGGATTTAAGAACTTTCATACCTGACGAACGAAACTGTTTGAGGTAGTATCAGAGGATGTGCTCCCATCAGACCCTTTAAATCGGTTTTTCCTTCTGGCTCCTTTTCCATAAGACTGAAAAAAATGGAAAAAGAGAAAAAAGACAAATAATATTATTACTGGACTCTTTCACAGGAATCTGGGCCTAGTCCTACAACACCCAAGACTAACACAAAACAAGGAACAAATGACAATCATAGGTGGGCATCACTGAAAAGTTAATATTGGTGGAATCATAAAAAACTGTGAGATCAGCAACTGTTTATGGAGGGAAGAATTCTAGAAAAGCATTGAACAGCTGGCAAAGTAAAGCAATTTATACTACCTAGAAATATATGTTAACAGTCAAGAGGCAAAAACCACTGAAGATAAAGCAGGAGCAGAGAAAAATATTAAAACATAAGTTTCAATAACATTGGGCCCAGCACAAGCATCTACAAATTAACTTGCCCGTGGTACTACTTCTAGCGTTTAAATCCAAACCTCTAGCATTATGCACTAATACATGTGTAATTCAAAGCACAGATAAAATTACTGTGCATATGTAACATTCAAATATAAATGAAAAAATAGCTCAACACATGAGCACATTTGCAATCCTGCCTACAGTAGAACTTGAGTCCATTTCTTAAGCTTTTTCAGTTTAATTCTTCTCATATTTAAAACGGGCTGTTTTATGTATGACATGAAGTAATGTCTCATGGCATTTTAGTACAAGAGCTAGTACATGACAAGCATTAAAATATATGTAAAAGTGATTTCCACATGCGAGCTGGAGGGTGTGAAGGAAAACTGGTCCAATGTGTGCAGTGTGATGAAAACTGTTGGGCCCGGAGACTCCATTTGATTACCAAATTTGCAAAACTCACTTTTCAAACCATGTTCAGACTTCGAAAATGCTACTTGGTCATGCTTTATATTTTCATATGTATTTCATTAAAATGAAAATATCTTATAAACCATAATCTACATAGCACTTAGGCAAGCAAAGTCTATTACAAACATTTGTGTTATGAGTAATTTAGATGAATTTGTAATCAGTGAGAGGGTGGTATAATCTTAAAGTAAAATCTTTTCTTAAATATGTTTGTTCTCTTCCCAAGTATCTAAGGGATTTATATAATACAAATGTGTTTCCATGGCATTTAATTAACTCTCCACTTCATAAAAGGAAAGACTGGCCAGGCTGGGTTTTCATAATGTAATATACAAGGTTCTCCTCACTTAACAGCTTATTCTTCTTACTTACATAAACATTGTTCGGTAAACTGTTGAAAAATAACATTCTTTCAACAACACTCTTCTCTTTCCAATTATTATGTAAAGGTTTGCACAAAAGTGTCTTCCAAAACCTTAGGAGGCTAAAATAAAGCATGGGGGGAAAAAAAAAACCTCCTTGAAAGTAAATTTCTTTACATTACTTTATCTGTGGGGGAAAAATATATATATATATATTTACCTTGAAAGCACTTTTTAAAGGCTAACAAGATTTTCTGGGGGATGGGACAATCTGTTTGGTAAATCACGTATCTTCATAAAGATCATAATCTTTGACAGCAAGCTGTCTCCTTGGCCGACTATCACATTTGTCTCACTACCATTTAGAAACAGGTGGGGGAGAGCACCCCTACAATTCGAACATCATTAATTTCAGCTTTTTTTGATGATGAACTTGTACTGTTCAGTTGCGTGGGCGCATTAAGCTTCTTCATGGTTGCTTACAATTGCACAACCGACCCTTTGAGAGCCACACACCACTGAAGACACTCAGTTCCAGAAGAAGCTGTTCCCAACAGAAAGTTAGATACACAGAACCTGATATTAACTTTTGCCAGGCCCTAGGAGTGGTACTGTTCATGAGCTTTATTCTAGACATACCTCACTCTGCAGACTACACATACAGGATGGAATTATTACATTTGCCACTGTACTGAAACAGTTTACATGTGCATGCAAACTGGCGGCCGTGTTAACAGAGACATATTATCCCTTGATCACTTGAATATATGAGGTATGATTTACAAAGTATTAATTTGTTCATGTCTATGTTATGGAAAATCCCTATTGATCATCTATCAGAGTTTAAATCAAGACAATAAATAGGTAAGCTTAACTATATTTTGTTATTGTATTCAGCATTAATTCCTCTTCTACTCTCTCTTTTTAACTGTTAGACAACTTAGTGACTACTTATTCTTGTAAGAATATTAAAGATCAAAAAAATTTAAACATTTTTGGAAAGTTAATGGTCCATTTTCACAAACTTAAAAGATGTCAGCAAAAACATATACTGACATCACACCATGAAGTTTCCTTTAATCTAATGCATACATATAATTTAGCTCATCTTGGTAATTCTACCAGTTATGTTAAATCCTTGAGATCTGCAGGAATCAAAAACAAAAATAAGTGAAAGTGAACCTCTTCCAAACAGAAAATGACAAGTAGGATTAAATGTTTAGTTAGCTAAATTTGAGAAAGCAGTTTTCTTAATTCAGCTACTTCAACTAAAATTACTTGTATGAACAGTGTTTTTTTCTAAATATTTTTCAGCAACATTAAATATGAGGGAATTTCAACATGTAATTGAAAGATAAGTTTAGGGACATGTACACGGGAAATCCCAATGTCAAAGTATCTGGATTGAGTCTCATCTTTATTTCTGAAACCACTGTCCTATCAGTGTCTAGCCCAGAAGGTAACAGGAAATGGTTCAGTCCCTGCACACATGTGGGAGACTTGGTTTGATAACTGGGTTTCTGGCTTCAGCCCAGCCCTGGCTATTTGTGGGCATTTGTGAAACAAACCATTAGTTGCAAGATTTTTGTGTGCCTCTCTCTGTGTCTGCTTTTTAAATAAGCTGAAAACAAAAATCTTTTTAATAAGAAAGTTCACTTTGCTATAAACATTTTGAAATTGATGCACTAGTTCTTTATATCATGTGTACTTTCCAAGAACTTTTTAAAGTACCTTTGTATATGAACACCAACACCAGATTTCAGGAAATAAAAGGAAGAAAAGGGAATTTGGCCAGATTACAAAATGTCACCCACAGATTCTCCCTAACACAAGCAGATACTTTAGAACCAGTTCAAAAATTCAACAATTGCCATTTATTATCTATATAGAATATATAGATAATATAAACTATATAGAATATAATAAAAACACATAAGTCACAAAGTTTAAAAATGGGGGAGGGGGCGGAGGGGATAAATCCCATTCCTTATGTTATTCTAAAACATGACTCAAGCTAAGTAACATTTCAGACACTAGTAACAAAGAAACAGGCTTAAGAAATTCGCAGAAATATATAAGACCATTACAAAGATGAAATTCGCCATGATGTTAATAGCACTTCAGTGACAGTGAGTGAGTTTTACACTCAGATTATAGTCTTAAATTTCAGAAAAGACATGTTCATGTTTCCTGTGCAGTTAAGTCTAATTTCTGGATAACTGAAGGAGACAGAAGCTGTCAGTTTCCCAGAGATTTCAGCTAGACATGCAGCGTTGTCCTGGCAGCCCCTGGGGACCACTCTAAGACAGCTTCCCTACCAACACACTGCTCCCCATGAACAGAACACTAACCTAAAATCAGTTTCCATCCCTCCCAATTTGTATTCATTGATGCTTATCCCTTTGAATGTTATATTTTCCTCATCCTATGGTCCAAAACAAACAAAGCCAGAACTGTCCAGAGAAAAATCCAACATTCAATCTTCCCCTTTACCAAAGGCTTAGTGCAACTAAGGCTGTTAGTTCCTTCCGTGGGTGACAAGAGCTGAGGTTACCTCCCTGGGTCAGGGGGAAAAAGGGGAAGCTGTGTTTCCTATGGCTTAGCTCCCAGAAAGCAGAAAGGAATCAGGGGGCAGGAGAGCCAGAGCTCTCAGGGAGACCTGGTAGATAGGAAACAGGGAGGAGGCCGCGGCCGGAGGCAGAGACGTGCCCAGTGTGGAAGGGCAGGGACAAACCTGCCTTCACCACAGTCTATGTCCTGCCAATCTCAGAAGGAGCTCCAAGACAAGACCACTTATTTTCAGTGATGCCACAACTAATATTAACTCTCTGTAGCTGTGAAAGTTTACCTAGACTGGTACATATAGACATGTCCTACAAAAGATAAAAAAAAATAAATAAAACCACAACTGTATAATGCCACTACAATGCTACAGGGTTAACATATTTTTGCTTGGCTTTTCTTGAAAGGACTAAAGTTATATACTGAATCATTCAAAAGAATTCAATACAGCAGCAGGTAATTCTACACACAAAAAAGACCTAAGATGCATAAAACTACAAAACGAACCAAACTTCAACTCACACAGATATTTTCTTTTAAAATTTAAGAAACTCTGAAAGTCTCATTGACATGCTTTTCAATTTCTCCCATGCAACACAACAAGGGGAAAAAAAAATGTTTAAGAGGAAGGTGACAGTAGTTAGTTAAAGCAAAGGATCTAGGACCAAAAATCTGGAAACTGCTGAGGACAAATTTGTACCACAGACCTAAGAATGTTTGTGGAATACAGTGCTGACTTGGTTCATGAACCACAGGGATGTGTCCGCTGCTTTCGCAGCAAAGCTCCGTGCTGCAACCGTGCAGGCTATCGCCACTGCCAGGCTCCATTACTACAGCATGCTTGAAAAGCATCTGGCACACTGGGCTCAGGTGGAACCAGCTGGGACCTGTTGCTAGGAGCAAAGCAAACAGGCCTTCTAGTTACTGCCTGTTCATTCTCAGGTGTGACTGCACATGCTGGCTACAATCTCTCTGATGCCTCGATTGCTGAGATACTGCCCTCGCCTCTCAGCCATTTCCTCTTCTGTCACCGTGCTAGTCTCAGACCCTGGCACCTGCTTCCCATCCACCGGATGAACACAGGAGCTATTCAACTCTCTGGAAAACAATCCATTTGATACCGGAGTGATGCTAATAGCATTCTAATGAGCTAGAAACATGAGGGAGGGTCTTCAAAAAATTTCCTGAAAAAAATGCATTTCATGAAAAACCTGTGCCTGGATTTCACAATGTTTTGCACCAAAATAAAACTAACTTTTTAATTAGATTGTTTCCCTGAACTTAATGAGGTACCCAGGCATAACTGAAATTTCCTAATAAAAAGGTGAAGAGCAACAAGTGGAATCAATTATAACAGTGCATGTATTTAAGCCAACATAAGTCACTTCAGCATAAACTCAACTGTAATTATCCATGAAAATGCCTTGCAGTTTTTATTCTGATATGTCTGAAATCTGGTGTTTCACTTGCACAGCATATCTCAGTTTAGAGCAGGCCGTGTTTCAAGTGCTCCAAAGCCACATGCGGTGAATGAGTCCTATAATAGCTGGAGTCAATTTAGAGTATGGAAAGAGAGTTCTACTTAACACCTCGACTTAGAGACAGTCATGTTCAAGTTTGCACTAAAACTGTTCAGCAAGAGTTTCCTAAAGAGCTGTACGACTTTCTTAAGCCAGAACTTTCAAGAAATTGCAGGTTGGAACGCCATTCACATCCTGTGTAAGAAATGTGAATATATTCCTTTGTGTTTCTGACAGTGAGCTGGGTGGAAGGAGCTGGAATGTATGATAAGGCTGGTTCAGCTGCCTCCTCCTCCCAGCCACCTCAGGCAGAATCACTGATGAAAAGAAAAAGATAAAAGCAAAATGAGTAGCTTGGGGATCTTCACCTTGCTCTTCATTCATGTCAAACCTGTAACATGTAAGATACACATAAAGTTGACAGCAAAAGCATGTTCTCAAAAATATTCTGGCACCAAAACAAACAACTTTTGATTTCATTTTTCTAACAACTTTTGAAGTCCCCCCCGCAAAGTAACCCTGAAGGAAAGTAAAATGATTATAATCTCATTTACAAAGAGTAGTTTCATTTCTAGATAGAACGACTTTTACTCAGTGCCACAGAGAAAGGGGGATGCGCCTAAGAAAGCCCCTCTCTCAGGGGACTTTCAGGCTGGTCTGCTCTACCTGGAGAGAGTAGACAGCCTTGCCAAGGTTCATACAACCCCAAGATGCTGGGAACCCGAAGATGCTGGAAGCCAGAAGACAACAAATCAAGAAGGCAGTGTCTCCCCTCCAATCATGGATGGGATCTGAACACAATTCAAGGAAAGCTGCTTTCATTTTTGGAAAGCAGAGAAAGCAAGGAAACAGCTGCCAATACAGTTGAATATTTATACTTTATCTGCTTTATAAAATCCATTGCATTCTCCTCTCTCTCCTTCACATATAAAATCACTCATTCCTACAGGGTGAGCTATGAAAAGTCTGGGGCACAGCCCTGTCACCTCCATTTTCTTTCCACCTCTTTCAGTTTAGGCCTTTTTGCCTCTTGTCCAAACTGTTGGACCTATCTCCCTTCCCACAGCTCCACTTTTGAACTCTGGGACTCCCAGCCTGCCTGAGGAACCTTCCCAGGTGTTTCTTCTCATTGTGCTAGCAGGTGGCTCCTGTTGAGCACACCTTCTCCAGTTCTCTGTTCTTCAATACACCCAAGCCTCCAAGGCTTCTTCTGACTGATGCCCAACTAAGGCCAGAGTGTACCCTTCTTCATTCTTTTGATCCAGGGACAACTGCACACTGATATCTGTAAACTTCTCTGTCTGCTTCTTGTATGGCTCCCTCCCATCCTTCCCCCAATTCCGGTGAAATCTGACCTGCCATCCAACGTCTTTTGCTAAGCCCTGACAGATTGCTCCAAAATGAGTATTATTTGTGACTTTTGCTCCTTAGAAATCATGACATTCAGCATTTCTCTCAGCCTCATACCATACAATCGCTATGCAGACTTCTTACTTGAAACTTTGGCAGGCAAGTTTTTCAAAGGAAAAGACTGTCCTTTCACATACAAGCCATTTCCACAAAGCCTGGGCACAGTGCTTGGGGACTTATTTATGTACATCACTAAGGAAATGAGTATCTCTTATCTGAATACAGTCATGCTCTATATCAGCCCTACCTGGATCTCTGAGAGAACTCTATTTTTACCATAAGAATAAATACTTTTCTTAAAAAAAAAAAAACCTTCAAGGAAGATCAAAGAGAAAATGAAGCTTGAAAAGTCCTTTCCTCTATCAATATTCAAGCCTTTGATCCTGATGTCACCAAGGTCTCCGAATACATTTGTCAGCCACACAAACCTCCGCATATGTGTGGATAAAATCGGAGTTCAAACAGACATGAATTGTGTCAGCCGGGGCTCCATCCTGGGGCAGAGGTCAGTTCCCTGCCTTCCTAGGCTGTGTAAGGCAAGCACCGGAGGGCCAGCTAAAACCTAGCGGTTGTACCACGACCAGAGACGCTCACTTCTGCTTATACAGTCCCATGTCCTACGCTTCTACATTCTTTCCACAGCTCAAGTCACTGATTCACTTTAAGTGGGCGATTCTGCTTTCCAGCGGTACAAGAAACTTCAAAGAGCTGGACTACAAAGTCCTCTCAGAGGTACCATTATCGCAGCAACAAACACCCAGAGAGGTGCATTTCTGTGTATCCAGAGGAGAGAACCAAACTCTAGCGCCTTCAGGAGGCTCTGCAGGTCCTGCTCACGGCTGGGAGCAAGCGAGACCGCAGCGAGCTCTGTGGCCTGCACACACGCTCAGATAAACACACACACGCCTCACACCTCACTGGGACCTATAGGATCTGGCAGATGCAGGCTTGAAAACCAGCCAGTACAGAGCACTAGGCTCTCCAGGAGCAGAACCCTAACATTCGGCATAGCCTGCAGCTGAGTCTGAAGTCACTTCCCCGCCAGCATAGAAGTTGAGCAACTCCTCACCGCCGAGCCCCGGAGGTGTCTGTAATCCAAACCGTACCTGCCAACGTAAAGGCCACCTTATCATCTGCCCGAGGCCTACAACTAACATCTCCTATTTCACAACAGGCAGCAAAGGTGAATTTTTCCAGAAACCGCGAACACTCGTCTGTGAGAAAGAGGATCTCGAAGCTTTTCGAAATGGCTAACCTTTCAGGGGAAACGGAAAAATAAAAACTTTCTCGTCCCCAGCTCGCTCTCTCCGGAAGGGAAAGGGGCCAGGGATGCAGGCGAACCCTGCCAGGCGCCCCGAGGGCAGAAAGGGAGCTGTCAGGCGGCTGCGGAGGGTGGTCCTGGCTACTCCCACGACCCCAGGCAGGACAGGGCAGGGCATCCCCATCGCCCGTGCCCCACACCCCCGCCCCAGTTCCTCCGGGAGCCAGGGCGAAAGGGTCGGCGTCTGGGGAAGCGGCGCTGCGGGAAATGGAGCCCCCTCCCGCCCGCCCGCTCGCTCGCCCGCCCAGCCCGGACTCACGATCTTCAGCAGGTCCAGTCCACTCGCCTGGTTCATATCTCTCCATGTGCCTCTACCAGGCTAAGGGCGATGAGAGCTGAGCAGAGCCGCCCCGCGGAGAAGCTGCGAGCCCGGCAGGTCGCCCCCGCCCCTTCCCACTTGCTTTTCGGAAGCAGAAGAAAAAAAAAAAAAAAAAATGGAAGCCGGAGAAGAGTCAAGGGGGAAAGCGCAAAGGGGCAGGGTCCCCAGGCGCCAGCAGAGAAGTGGGTGGCGAGCGGCGAGAAGAGGAGGTGGCAGCGGCGGCCGAGGAGGAGGAGGAGGAGAAGACGCGGGCACGAGCGAGCTGCGAGGCCAGCGAGCGAAAGGGAGAGGAGGCGCCCGGGAGACGGCGGCCCGCGCCCCCGGCTGCTCACAAAGAAAGGAGAGGGCGCCGCGCTCTCGCTACCTGTGCGGCGGCTCCGAGCGCCCCCGCGGGAGCCGCGTTCTCCAGCAGTTCCATCTGCACCTCCTGCGCCACCGCCGCCGCTGTGGGAGGCGACTTGGACATGTCGCTTTGGACCATTGGAGAAAAGTCGTCTCCGAGCACGCAGCCGGCCCCTGGCGGCCGGTCCCCCTCCTCCTCCTCCTCCTCCTCCTCCTCCTCCTCCTCCTCTTCTTCCTCCTCCTCGTCCCGGCCCCTGCTCGGCTGCGCTCCGGGGACCGCCGGGGGCTCGGGCCCGGCCGCTCGGTGCGGCGTCCCTTAGCGCCGCGCTGCCCAGGCTCTCAGTGCGCGGGACGGGGCCGGACCATGTTGCGAAGCGAGGCGCGCGCGGAACCCAGAGGCGGAGGCGCGAGCGCGCGGCTGGGGTGAGGCAGGAGAGGGACTCTCGGCTCCGGGGGCCGGCCGAGCGAACGAGCGGACAGCCCGAGCCTCGGGCACCGAGGAAGGTCCTCGCCGCCGCCGCCAAGGAGGGAGGGGAGGGCGGAGGCAGCTGGCGGAGCGCGAGCCAGGGGGAGGCGCCTCGGAGAGCGGGAGTGACAAGCCGCCGCCGCGCCGAAAAGTTCCGCGCGGGAGGCGCGGGCCGCGTGGGCCCCGGCCGGGCCGCTGCTCGTCGCCGTGGCAAGCGCGCTGGAAAGTTTTCTGAGCCACGGGAGCCAGGCCCCGAGTCCGGGAGGTGCGTCTCCCCGAGCTGCCCAGCGGGAGGGAGGCCGACAGCTCCGCACCCGCGGCTCCCCGGAACGCTGAGAACCGCGGGGCGAGAGAGGACAGGTCCACGGGTCCACGACTCCCGGGGGCGGGTGGAGGAGGGTGGAGAGAGCCTGGGTCCCTAAACTGCGAGTTGGAACCGCGCCAGAGCCTCGGGTGGCCCCAAGAGACGAAGTCCAAGGGGGCGGCTGAGAGCACCCCCGGGTGATGTCAGGGGTGAAGAGCCAGCAAGTGAAGGGACCCTGTGAGCTGGGATGTGGAATCCCACCTGAATCCCCAGCTGCCCTCTGCACCCGGGGCCCAGCAGCCACGCCTTTTATGACTTGGTTGCCTTACTCTGCCGATTAGCTCTCTGTTCCTCCTAGAATTGGACTTTTTCTGGAGCGTTGGAATCCGTTAGCCTCGCAGGAAGGACAAAGTCATCGCCCCGTCCATATCCCGAACTCTTAGAAGAAACGTGTGGTGAACACGTTTATCTTAGAACATTCCTCTTAGGGCTTCCCCACAAAACACATTTTTATACTGTAGGGTGCATCTCTTTTCAACAAGTTTGAATCTTGGGGAAATCCTCGGAACATGTATTCCAGGCAGCTGTATTACTTTGTAAACACACACACACACACACAAAGTAACCATTTTGTATGCCCAAATATACTGCAGAAATTGGCTGCAATACCCTACAGCTGCCTTTTATACCATGTTTGAAGTGTTAAGGTATGATGAAGTACTCATTCTTCGCAAAGATAAACTCAGATGTTTAAAACTGCACCACACACTAGCTTGAGCCAGGCTTAAAGAACAAATGTGGGGTGAGTGTTTGGGACACCTGCATTCCATAGCAGAGTCCTAGTTTGAGTGTCAGTGCTGCTAGTTCCCATTCTAGCTTCCTGCTGATGCACACACTAATTGAAAAGCAGCAGCTGATGACTCAAGTACTTGCCTCCCTGCCACCCACGTGGGACACCTGGATTCAGATCTGGATGCCTCGCCCAGCCTTACCTGTTGCAGGCGTTGGGGGAATGAGCCAGTGGATGGAAGAGTCTTCCCAAGTGAAAATAATACCTTAAGATTTCTCCAGTCTTCCTATGGTTAAAAATTTAGGCACATCCAAAATACTATTGATTTCCCAAATCAAGTGGCATTTTGGTTTCAACTTTACAGGATATTAAAAAGAAGCCCTGAAGTATAGTTTGTAATAATAATTTTTTAAAGATTTATTTATTTTTATTGGAAAGGCAGATATACAGAGAGGAGGAGAGACAGAGAGGAAGATCTTCCGTCCGATGGTTCACTCCCCAAGCAGTTGCAACGGCTGGAGCTGAGCCAATCCGAAGCCAGGAGCTCTTCCGGGACTCCCATGTAGGTGCAGGGTGCTAAAGCCTTGGACCGTCCTCAACTGCTTTCCCAGGCCACAAGCAGGAAGTTGGATGGAAAGCAGGACTGCTGGGATTAAAACTGGCGCCCACATGGGATCCCAGCACATGCAAGGCAAGGACTTTAACCACTAGACTATTGCACCGGGCCCTGTAATAATTTTAAAGGGTGGAAGGGCCACCTTTGAAGAGCAAGAACTGGGGAGTTGGAAGGCTGTGGTTCAGGATATGGTGGGGGTTCAGGCAGCACTGAAAGGGGGCTGTCTACGTCATAGCACCAGCATGGTTGGGAGTTCTCCTGCTAAGATTGGTGAAAAGAAATGAATTCAGTTATACATACCAATGAGCCTTTTATGATGTGAGATTGAGTGAAAAACTGAAATTTTTATCTCTAAAGGCCTTGAAAAAGCCGTAAAAAACAAGGCTCTACCAAAATAAACAAAAACTTAAGGAACAACTGAGGTTACTTGATAAGGTCCATCGGGGCCCAAGGAGAAGTGGATTAGCTTGCAACCCATGTGAACCCATACCTAGCTTCTTCAGCTAGGGCCGAAATCACCTGAGCAGGCAGTTTTGCTTTGGCTCCAAGAGCTGTCACAGCCTAGAGTCCTTTCATCCAAGAGTGGAGTCTTCTTCAGAGTTAAAAATCTCAGATCTTCGTTAGACTCTGAGCTCTCTGGGGTCAGAAACCATGCTGTTATTGACCATGGCACCCGGAGGCTGAAAACAGTCCTCAGCATTTTAAAATATTCATTCAAAGTAGGAATCAAGCTTCTGCTGGGACCATTGAGTACTGCCAACAGACACCAGGTTCCTCCTCCTTGGGGCTTACTGTATAGTGAGTACTTACAAACCAATTGAAACACTCATTGAATAAATAAATGAATGAATTCTAACATGCTTGTTTGAAACTCTTCAAAATGTCTTCTCATGACATTTGATTTCTCAGAGCACACTTAGTTGTGTGTTCAATTTCAGTTAGGATCATTTGGAATGTGGAATTGTATCTTTCATCAGATTGTTTAAACAACTACAAAATATCAAAACAGCTGTGAAAAGTATTTTTCATCCTGCTTATGTGGATAGCTGAAATGAGTTCAACATTCAAATACGATACACTATCATCATTTTCTTTAGCCTGTGAACTCTTTATTTTTGTTTCTCTCTACTAGACTAGGTTCCTCAAGGACAGCCTTTGTGTTTCATTATCTCAGTATCTCCAGCTTCAAGCAAGATGCCTAACACGTAACTGGAACTTACATGCTCATCGTAAGCACTGTGGTACAGCCGGTTAAGTTTCCATCTGCAGCACTGGCATCCAAGATGGACTCCACTTCCGATCCAGCTCCCTGCTATTGCTCCTGAGAAAGCTTCAGAGGATGGCCCGCGTCCTTGGCCCCTGCACTTGCACGGGAGACCTAGCAGAATTCTGAGTCTTGGCTTTGGCTTGCTCCAACCCTGGCAGTCAGAGCCATTTCGGGAGGAACCAGAGGATGTAAGATCTTTCCTTCTCTCCTCTGTCTCTGTCACTCATGTTTCAGATAAAAAAAAATCTTTAATGAAAAGAAAAAAAACGGTTATTGCATAAATAAATGAATGCTGTTTTCATGTTTTAAAACAGATTACAACTTTTTAAAGATATGCTTACCTGATCATTACTCCCATTATTTTAATTCTCTATAATTTAATCCGGATCACTGAACACTAACACAATGCAGTGGGTCCATTCAGAGGCTTGTTTGACTTCAAAAAAGTTTCAAATAAAAAGCAACACAATGTTACTCCTACAAAAAAGGTAAGGTAGAATACAAATTGAATTAAATGACAGAAATTGAACCATCTGATCCTTTGTATCATAGCAAATTTCCTTTTCTTTAAACATCCTTTGAGCAGCACAGTACTTCAAACCCCCAGAAGAAGATGAAAATTTCATAAATAAACCCTGATGTTTTTGCATGTTAAAGTAACACAGATAGGGACCAGCATGACGGTATATAGTCTAACCCTCCACCTGCTAGCACCAGCATCTGGATGGTTACTACTTCTAGTCCTGGCTACTCTGCTTCTAATCCAGCTCTCTGCTTATAGGCCGGGAAGGTAGTAGAGGATGGCCCAAGTCCTCGGGCCCCAGCAGCCACATGGAAGACCTGGAAGAAGCTGCTGGCTTCCAGCTTCAGGTAAAATCACCCTTGCCCATTGTGGCCATTTGGAGAGCAAACTACCACATGGAAGACCTCTCTCTTGTCTGTAAAATCTGACTTTCAAATAAAAATAAATGAATCTTTTTTAAAAAGTTACATGGATGCAAAAGACCCCAGCAATGATGGATGTACCCTGGTCAGTGCAGGCATTCAAAGGCAGATGACTAATTTCTTCAAGCTGCATGTTAGCTTTGCTGTGCTCATTAGCTGTAGTAATTGACAGGCATATTCTGGGCATTACTAATGCTTTGAAATGAGAACAGGGGCTGGTAGGAAACACTGGCCAAGGAAGCCAGAAGTTAAAAGGAGTTTGTTGTTGTTGATGTTGTTTTTCTGCAAGTAGAATAAACTGTGATTGGAATAACTTTATTCTTCCTCTACTTGCATATTTATACCTATGTTGAAAACTTTGGAGTATGAGTTCCTTTTTTGTTACAAGATCATTTTTTATTTTTAACTTTTCAATAAAATACTTGCCATATAGTCATGCCTGAAATTGTCAATTAATTATTTAGGGATACTAAGAAAAAAGTATTCTATTTATAAGACATATAGCTTTCTAAGAAATAGTTTTATTTTTCTTCATTACCCACTAATCTATAGCATTTAAGAAGGATCTGTTAGGACTTTAAGTTTGAGAAATGCATTGTGAGCTTCAAAAGGTGCATAATTATTTAAGGTACAATTTAAAATAATTCCATAAGCTGAATAAAATATTCCATAACCCCACTCCTTAAAATATGGCCTGCTGTACAAAACAGTGTTTGCAATTAGCGGGTTTTCATAGGAGAGAGGGAGTGTTGCATTTAGTGTGTAAA